CAAGTAACAGCTTAATATGAGGTTCTGCTGGAGCAGACTGGGCCTCTGTCAAACAACTGTTGTCATTCTGAACCAAAGGAGGGCCCAGAGTCTAAGAGAAAGAGGGGACACATACCAGAGTGTTGTACCATGAGCCTAAGAGAGCAAAGGGTGATAGCCACAAGGTTCTAAAGAAGCAAGGAAGACTCCCCTCGGGGGTTCCTGGCTGCCTCCATCCTGACATCTGTTCCCAAGAAGCATCCTAAGAAAGAACAGCACATTCTGGCTGACTGAATTTCACAGATTTTACCAAACAAAAGAGACTGGGACTTTTCCCAAGGTCACACAGCTTGTCAGAGGCCACCCCGGCTCCCAGAACGAGGAGCATTGGCCCGGAACCATTGATGCCTATACCCATGTCCGCAGACCCTGAACCTGGGCTCTCCCACTTCTGTCTTTCTTTAACCTTGAACTAGGTTAAAGAAAAGCTGAATGTTCCACCTCCCAGTTCGCAGCTCATGCCATCACCAAGCCCCTGGGAAAGTCTGTTGTTTCGTAGACGACAACTAAATCATAACAGAGGTGGGGTTCTGAGCCTCGTGGGGATGCTGCCTTTCCGTAGTGTCCACTGTGTGGCCTCCACAGTGGGCCAGCAATAGCATCTGCTCTTCTACAACTGGCCAAGGTGGATGGGTGTGGCTAGGTAGTGGTGCCATCCTTGGGCTGGTGGTCCTGGGTTCTATAAGAAAGCAGCCATTGGGGAGCAAGCCAGTAAGCAAACCCCTCTACGGCCTCAACTTCATCTCCTGCCTCCAGGTCCCCACCCTGTTTGGGTTCCTGCCCTGGCTTCCTTCAGTGATGAACAGCCATGTGGAAGTATAAGCTGAATAAACCCTTTCCTCCCCAACTTGCCTTTGGTCATTTTGGTGTCACATTACAGCAATAGAAACCCTAATTAAGACAGCAGAGGACAGCCATGTAGCCCTCCTGAGCTGACAGGACCAGGTCCATCCTGTGCAAGAGCACAACGATGAAAGCTGAAGCAGGCGCTGCTGGGAGCTCCCAGCCCACAGGTCTCCCTGGGGCATGGCTTGCAGTTCTGACCTCAGAGTGATCACTCAGCAGCAGAAGATCCAAGCTCCTTCAGCCAGCGTGGAAAACAAGCCCAACTGCTGTGCTTGGCCCTGGAGAAGTGATTCCATGTCTCACACCTACTACCCCCCCCATGTCTAGATTGGGCCCCCAAACCAGAGGCTTGCCTTGAAGTCAGATGACCTGGCCCCTGGAGAAAGGCACAGTGGGAGGCCTGGCTTTGGGAGATCAGAAACACTTGACTGTATATTGGGGCCTTCTGGGCCGACCTGGGGTTTTCCTCCCGTTTTCTGCAGGAAGAGGGCAAGTCTCATTCTGAGAAGGGAGAGAAGGAGGGGGCTGAGTTTCCTCTGTACCCCCGCCCCATGCGCACACTGTACCTGGCACAAGTGGTTTAGGACATGCTTATTGCCATAAGAGAACTATTGCTATTATTAGCTCTGAATGGTTTCTGAAATCTCTCAGCAAATTCTGAGCATCAGCTGGTAACAGCTGTTGGAACTGTGACCTTAACGCAGGAGATAAACCCAACTTACTTGGGGAAGCAAACGAGAGCGAACACGTGTGTAGAACACTCGGAAAGTGAGAAGGGAAAGGAAGAGCCAGGAAGCCAGAGAGGAGGAGAAGTAGCTCCAAAAATGGCTCAATCATTGCAAGACAATTTGTAGGGACTGGGAAGGCCTGAGGGGGTAAGCATGTGGCTTCCTGGGAAGGCCACACCAGGCAGAGGGAGGCAGAAGTTGAAAGCCGTGTGTTGAGAGGTGTCATCTCTGCTACCACTGAGGATGTCTGGAGGGTTAACTGGACGATCCAGGCTTGTGAGAGGTGTGCGCTCTCCAGCAGCGCTATGTGTGGCCTGGAAGACCACTGTCCTGTCTTTGTTTCTGCTAGAGACAGTGTCAGCATTTCGAGGGTAGAAATGACTCAGCTTCCAGAAGATAAAGAAACAGCGTTGATCTTCCAGGTTGAGTACCTTCTGATAGGACCTTGGAGAGGCTTCCTCTTGAGGACTGGAACCAGGCCCCTTGAGAGGAGTGCCTGGGAGTCCCCGTGTCCTTTTCCAAGCACCCCAGTGCAGGGCCCAAGAGCACAGGTGAGCTCCTTGTAAATTCCCCTGGTCCATGGAACCCTGGCCCAGCTACCCTCCAGAGAGCATCTTCTCATCCCAGGGCAGAGTCCTCTACCTCAGGCTAGCTGCAGGTAGCTCAGGCCAGGACCACACCTGGCATGAACATGCTCTCAGACACACAACCACTCCCTGAAGTTCTCCCAGCATCCCTACATTCCACAGCCCGGTGCTAGGTAAGGGCTGCAGGGGAGCAGGATGATGGATGGGGTCTGGCCAGGAAGAGAGGACAGAAGGTCACTGTCTCTGAGGGTCTCATGGTGAATCTTGGAAATACCAGGAACCCTAGCTATCCACTCACTCACGGTGTGGCTGCGGGTGTCAGAGGGGTCTGCGCACTCCAGGAGTGGTGCCACTGTCCTGGAACATTCAAGTATTTCTGGAACATTCATCTAGCAGGGTGAACCGGAGGAAAGGAAGAGTGGTAGAGCAAAGAGAAGGGTTTCTAGTCCTCAGTCATAGGCCATGCTGTGTGAGGTTCCTAACTTGTGACCAGAAGGTCGGTGGCCACCAACCTTGAAGAGAGGTGAGGGCCAGGCCTGGGCCCTGAGGAGGATTGAGCATCTCACCTCAAAAGAAGCCCACCCCTATTGGCCACAGCAGAGCATGCTTGTAATCCCAGCACTCTGGGAGGCAGAGACAGATGGATCTCTGTGATTTCGAGGTCAGCCTGGTCTACAAGGCAAGTCTAGGAAAGCCAGGACTTCACAGAAAAACCCTGTCTCAAGGAAAAAAAATAAAAATAAAGGAGCCCTCTCTGGTTTGTTTGGGGTTTTCATCTTCACACTGGATGGAGGTAGAGATACTGGGTGAAAGAGCTGAAGAAGATCTTAGAGTGCCTGGAAAGGAGGGCCTGTCTGGAGCACCAACCTAGCACCGACACTAGGTAAGATCAGCAAGAAGAGCAACAGCTGGAGAAGTGAACACTGGCCTCATGTGCCCCAAGCACTGGGACTGGTGTTCTGTGAAGAGGCTCTGCTCACAGCCCAACCTCTGTGTCCTCAGCAGGAGAGGCGCCCCGCTAGCCTGGAGGCCTTCCTATAAGCATCCACTAGTCATGTTGTTCTCTGTGTCCTGGCTTCTCCACCTTTTTTACTTTGGGGACTGACTCAACCAAGAGAGCTCAGCCAGACTATAAGGATGAGCCAGCCCTGACTACACATGTGGGAGTTAAAAATGGAGCCCACTCAAGAAAGCCTCATGAAAGGTCCACCCTCTTCTCACCTCTCTTTGGCCCCTGTGTTGCCCTCTCCCATATTCCATTGCCCAAAACACATAAGGGACCCTCTGCTCCCTGATCCTAGGCCAGCTTCCCACTATAATGAGGACAAGCCTGTTTAAAAAAAAACACCTCTCTATCCTACCCATGGTGGCCCCAGGCCTGACCCAGACACCTCAGATTCATTCCCCTCAAAGCCCAGCTTCATCAGCCCCCACAATGCTTGTGAGAATGGTCCCATCCAAACTTGGACTTTTGCCCTTGGCTATTCTCATTCCTGTGGACACGTCAACCTATCTTCCGGGTCAGGGAAGCTGACAGGCCCTCCCTCTTCACACCAGAAGGGCCCTCCTGAGAGGAGTCAGTACTGGGCACAGAGACATGTCCCCAGAACAGATGCTTCTAGCCATGGCCCAGTCAAGACTCCTGTGGAATCAACAGAGCCAGCCTTGGCTAGTAAGGCCTATCCATACTGCCAAGTAGAAGAGCCCATGGCTTTTAAGCTTTTCTCAGGCTAAGCTACCCTTAGGAGTATACAAAGCACCTACCAAACCCTGGCTGGCTCACCATGCCCCACCCCTGGGGAGCCATGAGGAAGGTGGGGGACCTTTTCACAGCTCTCCCTCTTTTATTTTATCTTTCTAAATGCATGATTTCACGGCCCCGAGAAGCAAGAAAAACCATCTGGAAGTGCTGCATGTGGATGTGATATCATGGAAGCAGAGAGAGAGAAAAAAAATAAAATAAAACAAAAGTGGATGGGAGGCCAGATGCCAGACACAGCAGGATTATCTTTCTCTGGACGAGTTGGACCCACCTTTAGAAACAGAGGTCCAGCCACAAACCTGGGCAGTTTCCAGCAGGAAAAGTGAGAGAGACAGAAGAACGTAGAAAGATGGCTGGCCAGTGGCTGGGGGACCCTGGCGCCAGCTCTCAGAGAAGGCCAGGACTTCCAGCCTCTCTGAAAGCCAGGCCTAGGGTAGCTCGGTTTCGTGGGTGCCAACTCACACCATAACCAAACTCAGAGCCGCCAACAAGGATTAGGAAAAGTGCAGCTGATCTTACTCAACTCCCGAGCCCTGCATGAGTCAAACTTTTTCTGACCTCACTGTTTGTACAACGGGGTCCACACTGATGGATTCTTGGCTATGTGTCCTTCTCTGCTCAGATTCAAGAGGAGATGTCCTAGTGTGTTGGCCCAAGAACTTGTGGCCAAATCCCAGACCTCCCGGGGCCAACAGGGACTTGGGAAAGCCATTACTCAACATATCTACAGGAGTGAGCCTTGGGGAGTGTTGGCAGAGTTGAGATATGTCTTCGGGACCTATTTGCCAACACACAGTAGTTAGGCAAAAATCAAGAGGCCACAAACAGCAGCAGAGAAAGTGTGAGAAGGTAGTTGAGAACCTCCTCCTATCCCTAAGCGCCAAGTGAAAGGCGACGCCACGCCCCTTCCAAACCTCAGCCTCCTCTGGCTTCAAAGACTCACTTTTTGGGTAATCCCCTGTGACATCATGGGAACAGAGGTGGTTTCATTTAAGACCAGTGTGTGTCCAGAGAGCTGCCCAGGACAGAAACCTCCCAAGACAGCTGTCGCCACCAAAACACCCAGCCGAAGCTTCCGAGCTCTTTTGTTTTCTGTCCGGGTAAGTCTATAACTGTCTATTTTCCTCTGGGGACTGTTAAATGGAATCATAGATCATGTCTCTTAGCAAAAGGCAACAAACAGAAGTGTTCTTGTCTACATCTGTACTGGCAGAAGAGATAGACTTTTTATCTTATGTCTGGTCTGTTTGGGTTTATTTCTGGTTTGGAGTGGGGAGGGGTTCTTTGTTGTTGTTTTGAGACTCTCCCTATGTACCCCAAAACTGCTTCATGCTCCTCAATTCTGGGTTTACAGGTGTGAACCACTACACCGAGCCTCTGGTTAGGGGGTTAACTGTGTGTGTGTGTGTGTGTGTGTGTGTGTGTGTGTGTGTGTGTGTGTGCGTGTGCATGTGTTGAGACAGATTTCTCTATGTAGTAGCCCTGGCTGTGTCCTGGAACTCTCTCTGCAGAGCACACTGGCCTCAGATCCACAGGAGATCCTGTCTCTGCCCGTGGAGGGCTCAGATTAGAGGCCATGCCTGGCCCTTGGCCCCTCTTCTTAAAAACTTTTATTTCCTTCATTTTGATTTTCTGTGTATGGGTGTCTTGCCTGCATGCATGTATGTGTACCACATGCATGCAGTCTGAGGAAGACAGAAAATAATGTTGGATCCCTGGGACTGGAGTTACAAATGGTTGTGAGCCACCATGTGGATGCTGGGACTCAAACCCTGGTCTTCTGGAAGAGCAGCCAGTACTTTTAACCAGTGAGCCTTTTCTCCAGCTCCTACTAATTCCCTCTTTTAAACTAGTCCTCTCTTCCTCTAAAGGAGCAGGTAGTAGGTACTGGCAGCTTCGCAGGTCAGCCAGCCTGTGCTGCCTCACTCTGGGCAGCCACCGCAGCACAAAAGTAGTCAAAAATGCTACTAAGCAGTGCGTGTGGCTGTGTGCCAATAACACTTTATTGTCTGGAACAGACCACAGGCTGGGTTTCGTCACCTGTACTCTTCACTCTGTTGATTTCAGGTCACTGTGGATGGCGTCCCAGGCCTTGTTGGAGCTGCAGCCCTCTAACCAAAGTCATCAGGCCCCTCTCAACGTCACCCCCTGCGAGGGTGCTCCAGAAGCCTGGGACCTGCTGTATAGGGTACTGCCAGGGTTTGTCATCACTATCTGTTTCTTTGGTCTCCTGGGGAACCTGTTAGTCTTGTCCATCTTTCTTTTGCCTCGGCGTCAGCGCTTAACCGTAGCAGAAATCTACCTCGCTAACTTGGCAGCTTCTGATCTGGTGTTCGTTCTGGGCCTGCCCTTCTGGGCAGAGAACATCGGGAACCATTTCAACTGGCCCTTTGGAACTGGCCTCTGCCGGGTGGTCAGCGGAGTCATCAAGGCCAACCTGTTCATCAGCATCTTCCTGGTGGTGGCCATCAGTCAGGACCGCTACAGGTTACTGGTATACCCCATGACCAGCCGGGGGTTCCGGCGGCGATGGCAAGCCCGAGCCACCTGCCTGCTCATCTGGGTAGCAGGGGGACTCCTGAGCATCCCCACATTCCTTCTGCGCTCTGTCAAAGTCATCCCCGACCTGAACATCTCTGCCTGCATCCTGCTCTTTCCCCACGAGGCTTGGCACTTTGCAAGGATGGTGGAGTTGAACATTCTAGGTTTCTTCCTCCCACTGGCCGCCATCATCTTCTTCAACTATCACATCCTGGCTTCCCTGAGAGGGCAGAGGGAAGCCAGCAGGACCAGGTGTGGGGGTCCCAAGGGCAGCAAGACCACAGGGCTGATCCTCACACTGGTGGCCTCCTTCCTGGTCTGCTGGGCCCCCTACCACTTCTTTGCCTTCCTGGATTTCCTGGTCCAGGTGAGCGTGATCCAGGACTGCTTCTGGAAGGAGCTCACGGACCTGGGCCTACAGCTGGCCAACTTCTTTGCTTTCATCAGCAGCTGCCTGAACCCACTGATTTACGTCTTTGCGGGCCGGCTCTTAAGGACCAGGATCTGGGAAATTTCTAAATGATGCACTCCTAGAGGTCTCATTCCCATACCTCCCGATAGGGAAGAACTCTTCTGACTGTCCTGGCGGGATTGAAACAGCAGTGAGCCAAGAAGCCTGGCTTCTTCACCAACCATCTCTGATATCATAAAGACCATCTGGTCAGCTGGCCCATGGCCACAAAGATGCCTGGGGGATGCTACTTACAGGGTAGCAAGACCTTCATAATGAAGCTAAGGATATGGAGATTGGGCTGCCGGAAGTATTTGCAAGACGGGGAAAGCAGAATAATAACAGGGAGCCCCTTTTGAGGGAGGGGCTTAGAGGGGCTGGAATTGTGTGAAGACAAAAGCAGAAGTCAGAGTGTGAGGAAGGGGCCACAAGCCAAAGATTGCAGGCACCCTTTGAGGCTGAAAAAAAAACACAGACATCCTCTGTGGAATCTCCAGAAAGAGCCAGCCCAGCCAACATGCTGATTTCAGCCCAGTCCCCCACGACTGTGAGAGAAGAAAGTTGTGAGAGAATAAAGCTGTGTTCTGATTTGTGGTTTGTGGTTATTGCTACAGCAACAGCAGGAAACTTACACAAGCACCCAGCAAGGGTCCGTCTTTACAATTCCATGTACCCAGTCCTTCCTAGGCTAACTTTGAGGAATGCAGAGGTGGGGTAGCTGCAGGCCCTGTCTACAAGGAGCTTGCATGCCTCTAAATAAGTCAGAATAGGAAGCTCCACGGGCTACAGATCCAGAAGCTCCCAAGGAAGGAGTTAGTTCCTCCCTTCAGGTCTAAGTAGGGTGAACCCTGGGGGCCAAGGAGACAGACAGGAAGAGCTAAGTACTCAGGCAGTCCCCACAGTGGGAAGACACAGAGGCCACATGAGGATTGCCAAATGCTGGAGCCTCCACCCAATCTCATCTTGGCTTTAAGGATCCAGCAAAGACCCTCCCAGAACCGTTGCCTCCAGAGAGCTCTGGATAGTACCCAAGAGAGTGACACAGGACAGAATAAACACCCATCCAGGTGACAGGGTGGTATGAGAGCACAGGATGGTGGGGGCTAGCTGGGACAGGCAAAGAAGGTTTCTCGGGGAGAGACATTGCCTGCTCTTAAACAAACAAAGAACAACAAAACTAGCAGTTCACCAAGTAAAATAGGGAAAGGGCATGATCCAGAAAGAAGCAGCAAACTAGATGCAGAGCAGTGAGTTCTAAAGTTAGGAAAGAAGAGTTGGAGGAATGGTGGGGGAGATCACAGAGGCAGGTTTGGAGGAGAAAAAGACATGTTGAGTGACTATTTGATGCCCACCGACAGATGGAGCTCACAAAGTAGAAGGGTGTTCTGGGGGCTCTGAGAGGTCCCACGTAATCTGTAGAGCATGAACTTGGGGTGGGAATTTACTCACTACTGCTTGGCAGGCCCTGAAAGGCAGCCAGATTGTGCTGAGCTTGGATTTTGGCAGAGAGACCATCATGGTTCTGGGAGGCTGGGGGGTGTCAGCCAGCCTGTGGGGCATGGCTGAGGGGTAGAAGCAAGCCTAGGAGATACAGCATAGTCAGCTTTCCCTCCCTGTGATGTAACACCTGGAAATTCCAACATAAAAAGGGAAAGGCTTATCTCTGTTCACAGCTTCAGAGGTTTCCATCTGTGGTTGATCTTGTTGCTGTGGGTTAGGGGCAGCACAGGGCATCTTGGCAGGAGTGCATAGTGCAGGAGATAATACAGATTTCATGGTGAATGTGAAACAAAGGCAGACAGGGGTCCCAATACCTCCTCTAAGCACATGCCCCCATGACCTGACCTTCTAAATATCCCACTACCCTCCAGGAGCATCACAGGCTGGCCAAGCCATTGCCATGTGGACCTTTGTGGGACTCTTCAGATCCAAGCAGTAGCAGGCAGTGGGGAAGAGTGGCACTGGCACAGGAAAAGGGAAGATGCTGTGGGAAGATCCGGACCAGAGTGCAAGGATGCTCCCAGACATCCCAGGAGGAAAGCTGTCCCAGGGGTGACAAGGACAAGCATGGCACTGGGACAGGGTTTGGAGCAGGGGGTGAAGGATAGTGAAGGAGAAAAGAAATAAAGACTCAGGAATTGTGCAGGTGAGAGGAGAATAGGTTGCCTGCCACGACCACCATCAAGGAAGACCCTGCAAGGCCTGAGGAAGAGAGAGTTGCTTGAGCCAAGGGCGAAAGTCAGTATCCAGGGATGATGAAGGCACAAGGACCAGACATTCTGGATGCATGGGACGTGGGGGATGGCCATCTGTCACAACTGCATGGAAGGGGTTAGTGATCATGGAACAGCCCAACACAGATTCACTTAGTAACTGAAAAGTAATGCAGTGTGCTTGGAACCTAGCCATGGGTCCACCAGGCTGGGCCACCAGAACCTTGATCATAACTCTATGGCCATTTCCCCAGTTCGGTGTTTTCCTGGAGAGGATAGTGTGGTCTGGATACATCAGCAGGAGTCAGCCTGCCCGTGTGTCCACTTTGGACCCCATGGACTTAAACAATGCTTTTGAGTTTGTTGCCAATGTGAAATCCCACATAACAATGCAGATTTTCAGCTTGTCGTAAGAGCTGACAGTGTGGCTGTCCATTCAGCCTCTGGCCAACAGCCAGCAGATGGTCTAGTCTTTGGCCACTGCTGTTGGCACTGAGAACTTTGCAGTGAACAAGAGAGGAGAATGCCCAGTGCCCACAGGGAAGACCCTCTGAGGTACAGGCAGTATCATCCTGCAGATGTCACACAGGCCTGGCAGCTCCAGAGGATTGAACTCGCCACCTGATATAGTTCTGTTCATTGGTTTATAGGTTAGGAAGCTGGACTGGTCAGTGTGTCCTGCCCCAGTGCAGCCCTAAGAGGACCACAACATCGTATGAAGGCTGTGTGACTGTCAGTCATCTTCTATCTTCTTGACGCCCTGTGGGAGCCAACTGTTTATGTCAACTTCCAAGAGAGAAAGCAGAGATTAAGGAAGATAGCACATGCCTCGAGGGCAGGGGCTGAATATGCTTGCTGTGCTGATGTGAGTTCCTAGGCAAAAACTTGGGAACCAAGGCTCTGAAGCAAAGGCAGAAGATGGCAGGGCTTAGGGGGTGGGGGCAGACTACTGACACAGCACCTGTCTCCTCCAGTGCAGAGACCAGAACACAAACTTATTTTTAATGTGTGTGTGTGTGTGTGTGTGTGTGTGTGTGTGTGTATGTGTGTATATGGACATGTGTGCACAGGTGTATGTGGAGTCAAGAGGACACCCTCACACCTCCTTTGAGAAAGGGCCTCTCATCAACCTGGAACTCACTAATTAGGGTAGGCTGACTGGCCAGGGAGGCCCAAGGATGCTCCTGTCTCTACCTCCCCAGTGCTTGGTTAACAAGCTCAGGCCATCATGCCTGGCATTTTTATGTGGGTGCTGGGGCTAAATCCAGGTCCTGATGCTTGCTAGATAGTTCTGGTTCCAATGGAGCAGATCTCTGGTCTCTGAACACCTTCAGCTCCTTCGTACCGCCAGAGCGGTTGATTACAGAATGGACTTTAGCAGCCTGAACAAGATAAACATTTCATCCTCAATAAGCCACTTAACAATAGAGAAAGTAGAAAAGGGAGAAGCATCCGGTACAGGCAGGTGAAGAGGCCAGTGACGCTCCACAGGCAAGAAGTATGAATATCTAAGCAGCCCCCGTCAAGGTGCGGTCCTTCCCATCACTGACCCATCACTGCCTCAGCTCCAGCCTCTCCGGCAAGCTGGTCGGACAAGCTGTCAGGACTGTGTGAGATCTCTTCCTGGGAGATGAATTGTCCTCTGACTGGCACCAAGCTCCAGCCTTTCCCTTTCCTTACATGAATCCATCAAGGGATAAAGCCGCTGACTAGGTCAGAACCTTCAGGATCCAACAATCTCCCGGGAGCCCACCAGATGGTAACCAGTGTCCCAGCACATGAGCTCGTATGCGTGTCTCAGATTCAAGCCACAGCACCAAATGTTTTGAGTGTCTTTCGGCCAGTGCTGCTAGGTGGGGGAGGGGCGGGAGAGGACTCCTGGTGCCTCACCCTCCTGTGACAGCCATTCCTGCTGCTCATTCAATTCAGGGAAAGAGTGGCCTTCTCACTTGGATGGGGCAATGAGAAGTGAACCTTGTGCCATGAAAGGGTCAAGGTCACAGACCTCCATGATTTTCTGCTACAGCCTTTGGGGGCTGTGGAGCTGTGGGCCTGGGGCAGCCAGCACAGAGCAAGAGTGGGGTTGAGGGATATCCAAACCTCGGAAATTTCATCCTGAGATCTGCAGGAGTAGGATAGTTGCCCCCTGCCCTGGACCTGTGTATCCCAGCATGCATAGCTCTGCACCCCCCACTCTGCCCAACCCCTCAGGAGATCACATAGCCCAATAGCCAGGTTAAACTTCCTCTCCCCTTATAAGGTCACATCCTGCAGCAACTGGAATTCCTCCTTATGCAGATGAGGTCTCCCCAGTGCCCTGGCCCCAGCCAATAATATACACTCAACCCCAAAAGTCCCTACCCAAAGGTTTAAGTAACCTTTGTCATCCCCCCACCCCCCACCCCCATTAAATGAGCTGTCTCACTGTAGCTGTCTCCCAAGGATCTGGTCTTGGGAGACCAGATTGGTCATTGACTAAGGATTCATTTATCAAGACTGTGGACCAATGAATCTGAATTTCGGGCAGGGAAATGGAGCCTAAACAGCAACAGCCTACTCGGAAACCTGGTGTCAAGATGGGTCATCAAGATATGGCTAGGTAGTAGTGGTGCATACCTCTAATCCCAGCACTTGGAAAGCAGAGGCAGGCCAATCTCTAAGTTCAATGCTAGCCTGGTCTACAAAGTGAATTCCAGGACAGCCAGGGCTACACAGAGAAACCCTATCTCAAAAACCAAACAATAATAAAATAAAGAGCTAAAGTCCACTCTCAGCCTGTACAGTAGAAAGATGGCTATCTATAATAAGGATACAGTGAGTAAAAATAAACAAACTTTTGTTACTGTAATTTGCAGGGAGCTAGATGGTTCTTATTGAAGTAGAACCTGGCCCACCCTGACTGATTCATCTACTAGTTTTTTTGTTTTGTTTTGTTTTTCAAACCTCTATGTATAGCAAAACAATTTACATATTAAATAATACTATGCTAGAATGAAGCCTTCTCTCCCAATCCAGCTGATCCAATCCAGTTCCCCAAAAGCAGCCTCCAGGACAGTGTGGTTGGCCTTGGTCTTGACGTGCAAAGCTAACAACTGGAGCAAGGGAGGCCGGGACAGTTGTGGTGGGGTGGTATTAGCCATGTGCGTCTCTCAGACCTGTCCCTGCTAGGTGGTACAGCTCCACCCATCAAAGTTGATGCTTTCTCCTTCCTCGTCCCACTGCCAATCTCAAGATGGGAGAAGGTAAGCTGGGAGACATAAAATGTCAACATTTGTAGACAGATAGGTGGGATCTTCATGATCCAACCTAGGCAAGGATGAGAAAAGGACCCTAGAGCACCAAAGCCCATCCTTATCTAACATTGTGAGGTTGTTTATCCCTGTGGATTTTGGCCTGTCAACTTCAAGTTCTAGTTTTTAAATTTTGTACGTATGACGTATGTAGGATGTGTTTGTGTGCATGTGTGGCATGTCCATGCCGAGGCATATGTGTGGAGGTCAGAGACAACTTTGTCCTTACCTTCTTTTTTGAACAGGCCTTACTGTGGGAGCTGCTCTATCTGGCCAGAGCTTTTTGTAATTCACATGCCCCACCTTTGCTCTTGCTGTAGAACTGGCATTACAGAATTCACTGCGTCTGGCTTTTATGCGGGCCCTGAGGGTCTGAACTCAGGTCCTCGTGCATGGGGGCTAGAGATTTTATCTGCTGAGCCATCCTTTCAGTCCAAGTTTTTAAAACTCTGTGTTAAAATGCTACCTTGATTACTGGTACCCCTTCCAAACTTTGTGTCCCAGACAAGTGACTCTGCATCATCCCAGCTCCATCGTGGGAGGGGCGTTGAGGGACTCACCTGCCTCTCCAGGAGCGCAAACAACAGCAGAGAAGTTTGCACACACTTCCCTTAGATTGGACTCCAGCTGCAAGACTCAGGGAAAGCAAGTGAGGCTTACTGGAAGGCAAAGGGTTCTATGCCTTAAGCTCTAAAGGTCCCTCTAAGCCTGCCCCAAGGCCTCAGCAGGGAAGGGGCTGTGCCATGTTGCTACCCTGCCAGAATTCTCAGGGAGAAATTGACCAGAATAAAATGACACTTTATCTTACTCATTATAATTGCTACTATTGGTGTGTCCACACATGCACAAGCTTGGGTGGAGGTAAAAGAATAATTTTCAGGTGTCAGTTTTCTCCTTCTGACATGGGTTCTGGAGGCTGAATTTTGGCTGTCAGGCTTGGCAGCAGGTGCCTTTACCCACTGAGCCAGTTTGCTGGAGCACATCTTTTCAAATTTTTAATTGAAACAGACCTCATCTTAGACACAAGTTTGGCTAAAGACAGCATCTTTCTGAAGCCTTCTCTGGGTGCAAAGGGGTCACAGCTCATTCAGCCTAAGGGGCCCCCACTGAAGGGGTCAATTTCCACTCTGAGAGAGCACAGGCGCCCTCTGCTGGCAAGGAAGGCAGATCGCTCCACACACTTTGAAAGGGAGCCTTCCAGAGACCACAGGGATCTGCTCCCAGGCAAGCCTGGTACTGCGAGGATGAGGAAGGAAGACCATGATTCAAGGCTATGGTAGTTTGCAGGCAGACATGGTGCTGGAGGAGCGGAGGGCTCTACATCTTGTTCCCCAGACAGCCGGAGACCGCACCACACTAAGCTTAGCTTGAGCATAGGAGACCTCAAAGCTCACATCCTCAGTGACCAGACTTCCTCCAAAAACCACACTTATTCCAACAAGGCCTTACCTCCTATAGTGTCACTTCCATTGGGCCAGGCATTCAAACACATGAGTCTGTGGGAGCCATTTCTATTCAAACTGCCAGACCAGGATAGCCTTGAATCCCACCCTCCCTCATCTCCTTAAGTCCACTCATAGGGGAGGTCCTCCTCCCCTTCCATCTGACCTTAGCTTATCAGTCTCTTCAGGACTGGCTGCAATGTCCTCCTCTGTGGCCTAGCAAGGCTGTTCCTCCCTTGGGGGTGGGGAGGTCAAAGAGCCTGCCACTGAGTTCATGTCAGAGACAGTCCCTGTTCCCCTTACTAGGGAACCCACTTGGATACTGAGCTGCCATGGGCTCCATCTGAGCAGGGGTTCTAGGTCATATCCATGCTGGTCCTTGGTTGGAGAATCAGTCTCAGAAAAGATCCCTGTGCCCAGATATATTTGGTCCTTGTGGAGCTCCTATCTTCTCCAGATCTTACTAACTCCCCCTTCTTTCATATGATTGGGAGGGAAAGAGGGAGGGGGGCTACAGCTGGGATACAAAGTAAATAAACTGTAATAAGTAAATAAATAAATATAAAAAATAAAAATAAGGTGCAGAACCACTAATAGAAGAACATCATTCATTCTAACCTCTACATACATGCACACCCTGACTTCAGCCTCTGGCCTCTGCACACATGTGCATACACAAGCAGACACACAAGAATGTTTTTTAAATGGCAAGCTTCAGCGATGGGTGTGTGAACAAATACAACTTCTCCTAGAGGGCAGTTGGCAATCACCACCCAGGATTTAAAAGTTGTCATATCTCATCGCCTCACTAGTCTCCCTTGTAGTGAGTCACCCAACAGATGCAGCTATGGGAAAGTAAATTACTAAAACTTCATGTGACTCTTGGGTTGTTCAGACCCAGGAGGGCTGGCTCCAAAGCAAGCAGGACAAAAGGGCTAGGGCACCTGAGGATGGTTCTTAAAACAAAATCCAGTATAAAAGATTATGATGGGTGTTGGGGTAAATAAATAGTATTGGGCTAAATAATATTATTAACCCTATAATTAATAGGGCAGTATTCTCTAACCCACTACCACAAATTAAAAGACACCTGCTAGATTTTATAATTGCCTTATAACACCTTGGGCTGGGCAGATATTTCCACTTACGCTATCTCAATGACCTCCCTAATCTACTTTCCAGGCCCCATCCAATGCCATCCACCTGAGCCATTCCTATCAGCCTGTCTCCAATGCGTAATTCCATAAATATTTGCTTATCCTTCATTTGACCACTCCTTTCCATGCCACTTTTGAGAGTCCTTCCTTCCTTGGAAGTCCTTGTGGTTCCTAACCCACTGTGGCTTCCTCCTCTCTTCTCTTCCTGTCTCCTTCCCGTGAGTCTCTTTTCCTCAAAGCCTGGGAACATCAGCTATGCCTACTTCCTTTCACCCTGCCCAGATACAGGCCTTTTTTTTACTAACCAATCAGGAATAATGTCTTAGACAGATTTACACAACAAGGATAGGTGTACCTGGGCAAGGACCAGATCTGGAGGGCCAGTAATTAACATCAAAATACAAGCATCAGACCAACCCCCAACAGATGGGGTTTGAAAAGAATAGCACATTCAGAAGCAGGACAAGTAAAACTAATGGATACTTGGCTGTCAAAGATGGGTAGATAGCACACACCTGAAACCCTAGCACTTGGGGGAAGGCAGAAGGATCAGGAACTCAAAGCCAGTTTTGAACTCAGTGAGCCTGAGCCCAGCCTAGGCTACACAAGACCATGACTCAAAACAAGAACAAAATAAGAAAACTCCGTGAATTTTGGCTTGGTGTCTCTGAAATCACCCTAAACTTACCACTTTGTACAACATATTTACACAAAGTAGGGTTCTCAGCAGTTAGTGTTGTGAAATCAGAATACCAATCCACTCTGGAAGACAGGCAATCTCTACATTCTGCAGCATCAAATATTCTATATTTGAATATTCAAGATTGCTTTAGGTATAAGTAAACAAGGACATAAACCTTTAATAAATGACACAAGTGCTGCACACTAAATCATTTTAAGGTAAATCTCCTGATAATTTATCATCAGTAAACACTAGGATACATACCTAGACATATACGTGGGGTCAAGTAAAAGTTTCCAATGGGGTCTTGGGTGGGTGGGAAGTATTTAAGCTCTGCTCTGCTTCATAACATGGGATCCATACCCCTGACTGCACATTCCTTCCACAGGGCAGCCTTTAGCCAGGTTTTTTAAAATTATTTAAATTTAATTATTAATTAGATAACAAAAGTTAAATAACAACAACAACAACAACAAAACATAGTGTAGACTAGGCTGGCTGGAACTGTATAGCCCAGGCTAACTTAAACATATACTAATCCTCATGTTTAGGTCTCCCAAGTGCTGGGGTTACAGATGCAAGCAGGCCTTACCCAGGCTGCAGGGTGAATCTTGTGCCCAGGGAGATAGTTGGCACCTGTGGAAGAATGTGGGCGGGAGTTTGCTATCTAGTGGCGAGCTGTGAGACACCGGCAGCACTACGACTCCAAATACCACGCTGAGATGGAGGAAATACTCCAGACCCACTCAGAGCTTGCTCTGTGCCGCCTGAGCTTTGTTTACATGGGCAGTGCCTTTAACCTCTGCTGCCAGGCTATCAAAGGGCTGAACAACCAGGTATACTGGGCTAACAGGAGCACACAGGTCAGTAGAACAAGTAGGCCCCTCTCTGCTCACAATGAAGTCTCCTCAGTCCTTCTCAACCTCCTGGGAAATGCTTGATTTGTTCAAGAGGGCCAACGAGGTGGCTTGCTGCCCGATTCCTGACAACCTGAGTGTGAGCTGTGGAACTTGCAGGGTAGAATGAGAACCAACTCTTATAAACTATTCTTTGATTCCCATATGCACTCATGCACCCGAGAGCACACACACACACACATAGCAGTTCAAGAAAGAGGTATGGGGATCATACAAGGCAATGCCTCTGCACCTGTCTCTCCACTGGGCAAACAGGCTCCTACACGAAGAACACATGGGAAAGCCCGGCTGACACCTCACAGGTAGCCCCTTCCTTCTTAAGTGCCATGTGTGATGCCTGACTTGTCACTCTGATGGTTAGAACGTGACAAGCCACATCAAAACTCCTTTTCAAATGTCTTGTATACTCCTCCAGACAGATTTACCAAATACTTAAGTATAACCCTAAACCCAGATGTCCAAACAGAAGGGATGATGAATAAAATCGTCAGTACCCTAACAAGGTAGGCATGTCGCACTTTAACATTATAGTCTGATTCAGCTCAGAACTAGATCTGAGGTGCCAGGATGAAGGATCCTTTCGAAGTCTACCCACCCACAAAAGCGGTTTAGGCAGGCACAGGGAACAGTTCTCAGAGACAGATGATAATTAAGTTTAAATCAAAAGACAAAGAGGAAATATTTTAATTTTTTCACAAGTATTCATAACGGCATCATATTTTAAATAGTCACAACTAACAAGTTACATTTTTCACAAAAATACTTGTACAGAGGAATATTCTTATTTACATCCAGAGTTGCCATAATTAGGAAAAGTCAGGACACTCAGCAAAGACAATGAGACAGGCTAGACGGACTCACAGAAAAGCTGAACTGGGTGCCTAAAATACTCCCAGGAATAAGCAAGCAACCCTGTGGACTAGAGGGCTACACAAACAAGGCTAGGCAGTACCAACCAGAAAAGTGTACATGAGACAGGAGGGTAAATGCCTCTGTGAAGGGGGGCTAGCTCAGCCCCAAGTGCCAAGTGTGAGGGAGCAGCTGACACTCACTGCAGCAGACAGGCAGCACCTGACACTAATGCAAAGGGAGTGATTTGCCCAACCCTGGTGTTAGCTAGAGGTCGACATAGGACTCTGAGTCCTGTGCCTATAGGAAATGCTAAGATTCAAAATATAAAATGCTAAGACTCAAAGATTTCTCACCCACAAAGAAGCCTGACATGACGGCTCACAGGAATGCTTTTTCTCACTGGCTGACTTCCAACTGTGTATACGGGATCTCTCAAAGTTAGCAGGGTGCCCAGCGCAATCCTGAAAATATCCACAGAGGCTGGCACAGACTGGTGTTCATACACAACAGTGGCTATACCTTCCTGTAAACCAAAATAACATTTCCTGACAAAAAAAGACAATCTTCATTACTGATACACTTCTCTACACTACACAAATAATCTTTCTTTTTAACCTAAGGTAAAACGTGCTTACTCTGATACCAAGTGGTCCATCCAGCTACAGAAAGCAGAGTATCACCCTGTGTTCACACAGTCCTTCCAAGGGACTTTAAACTCTACATTCCCCTTGGGAGATGAGGGGAGGCCAGGAAGAAGTGCTGCCCACTGACCCCAGAACCCTGGGATCCGAGATTGTACTCAACAGGGGCAGAAGTGAAACAGACTGGCTTAAATGTCTTACACAGCATTTTATGTAAATATCATTTAAATTAAGACAATCAATACTTAATCCTAAGGCTATTTATTGCAGGGTAGGGTTCTCATTTCTAATCCCACTGGTGAGAACACTCAGATGCTACAGTCCTGAGTCAAAGGACGCACAGTGAGGGGCAAGTGCCTCTCGAACAAGAGCAGACACAGCTAACTGGTCTAACAGGAGCTATTGCAGTAGCCCTTTCAGTGACACAGGACAGGAGGCAGAACAGATGGTTCCTGGTCCCTGATACTGTGCTTAGGAACACTGCTACTTGGAAAGATTTTTTTTTTTACAGTGACTTTTACTTTTTAACAATATTGTTGACAAATATATGTATTCTTAAGTGGGGCTCCAAATTTTCCTGACACTTCATTGAAATGGAAGCCTACTCCTATGATGTCTGTCTCTGTATGCCCTGCTCAGATTAAAAGGGAATGAGGACAGACAGGAAGAGAAAAATGGGGGTTCCAAGTCAGTCCTATTTGGCAATCACATTGCTGGGGTCTCTGTTGACATCAGCAATATAGTCAGAGTTGGAACGGCTGAGTGACCTTGACCAAGCTTGCTTTCCTGACTCCTAGAGGGGGGAGGGGTCTCTGTATGGAACTCGGCAGCAACAGGTGGGCACATGCAGCCTGCTCCAGTCAAAATTATCGACCTGATGCAAGCATGCAGCATGGTGCCAGATCTGGAAGGTGTCACTCTTAGAGGGCTGAAGTAGCCCACAGCTGCTGTGGTGTGGCACAGCCACAGTGTCCACGTGATGCTGGCCACCAGCCTGACATCACAGCCTTGGCACTCTAACAAGCATGAGGGCACACACCACTATTGTGCATGTGCCACCATGACCTAATTGCCCAGAAATTCCCACAGGTCTTGTCTAAGAAACCTCTTCACCTACAGAAGGGACACTGGGGCTGAGCAAGATGAGGTATCTTGGCCAAGTCAAGTCATTTGCTTGGTAACTGCAGATGAGGCAACCCAAGGACCCTGTCAACACACTACGTGTCAATTCAACACAAAAGTCTGAGCAGATGCCCTTTAAAAAGAAGACAGCAGATATGTAACTCAGAAGTGTTCAGATCCAGACAGGTCCCCACTAGTGCCTCAGCAATGCACAAAAACCTGGAGATGAAATCAACATCTCTGGCAAGATGCAGAAGATGAAAAGGAAGAAGCAGGAGACGACATTGTAAAGATACCTGTTTATATGGCTTCATCAATTTAAACAGTTGAAAGAAATAGTTGTCTGCAGCTCAGAGGGCAAAGGGGACTCCCGTGTACTAACTCTCTCTGACCTTAGGAACCAAGGAGGAGAGAGGTATGGCGGGCAGTCTGATCAAAATGGCAGGTAACACATGCTGCCTGCTTCATTAGAAGGTCAGGTAGGGACCGGCCAGTCATGGCAACAAATGCCGCCACAACCTGCAGTGTCTGCTCAGAGCCGGATCACACACAGGCTCTGCTTAATGAGGACAGAAGAGCTAGCAGTTCCATGAGGCCTACCAGCAGCCACTCCAAGACGTCTTTTGAAGTTTCTGGGCAGCAAAAGGAAATCAATCTTATGCAAATGTATACAAGATGATTATTTACAAACTCTGCAGTTTGGGATTGGGGTTGGCACTGCTTCCTGTTTAGGGCTTTCAGAGGGTGAAACTGACTTTCCTTTCTCACCCACAAACCGAATGCAGCTGTGGCATCCAGCATCCCTGATACCCACCAACACTTTAGAAACCAAGAGGTGACAGCATGCAACTCTAAACAGTGACAAATACAAAGTGCCAGTTTCTCTTTGTTGGGTTACTCTTGAGGCACAGATTGAAAACAATTACCCATTTCCTCCTCGGTAAGTGACAGTAACCACAACAGGCTCTGAGGTGTCTCCAAACAACCTGTGGTCGGTGACAGCACTGCATCAATGAATATGCTCTCAAAAAGCAAACTGTTCATGGAAGTATACAACAATCTTACCTTTAAATAAAAATATTTTATTCATTCCTGACAGGTTATCAAAATGTACATTATTAAAGTAAAAATGGTACTTTTGAATTAGTTGCCTAGGACGTATTTGGAGTATTTTTATTTAACTTCCTAAGAATAAAGCCCACTTCCAATTTTCTTTGCCACTAATAGTCTGTACTATGTACTTAACAAAGGACAGATAAACAACGCATGGGCCCCAGTCCATCACAGAGTGCACATTTCCTCTTGCATTTAGGATACAGAAACTTACTACATTTGGGTTACTTTCCTTCACCAAAAACTCCAAGACATCGTTATTTCTCTTCATATTTATATAACCTTGTAAATGACACAAAGAACACAGCACACCTTGCGTTACACTACAAACACACACACACACACACACACACACACACACACACAGACACACACAGAGGATAAAGTGCAGCACAGCATTTTTCGTCTGCGACACTCACTTTCCCCAGGTGAGAGGAGCAGGCAGTCCCTTGGGGAGGCGAGCCCTAGCTGCTTTGCTTTCCCTGTGGCTTCACTCACTAGCTTCAGAAGTGTTGAAATTGTAAGTTGAAAAACTCCCCAGAATGAGAAGAGTGCTCCCCGGTGCTTTGGGAGTGCTCCATTTTTAAGCACTCAACACTGTTTACAAAGACATTCCCAATGAGAGCTTGTAAGTAACAAGTACAATTACAGTCACTTTAATGAAAGCAAGCATTCAACATGGCAGCACATCTCTAGCGACCATGACACGAGCCACCAGACACTCCTGTAGGCAAGTGCCAGGCCCTACAATGTCACAAGGTTTTGGCTGCGTGTTGTTTTGACATTAAATTATTTAACTAAAACCTGCTTTTGTTCCTGAGATGAGCACATGAATTAAACAAGCTTTCTACGAAGCTGCCACTAGGATACCCTGCTCCTCAGCTCCACGCTCTGTGGAGTGACCCTGGAAGCATCAGTCCTCCCCGTGGCGCCATTTCTGTGATTCGTCCTGCCGAACATCTGGTCTAATTTGGTTTCTCATACCACCTAACACGTTTGATGTTGCTTCAGTGGCTACAATTAGGGGTTTGACCACTGCCGGTGGAATCTGGCGCAGGACTTCACCCACAGCACCAGTGACCCCTCTGCTCTCATGTTCTCGAGCAGCCGTTTCATAAATGGTCTGAGCCGTGTCTGCGATTCCCTGTAGAGGGTGGGGGCAGGAAAGAGAAGGAAAGCACAGGTCAGAAACTAAGGTGCTCACACTACACACTTTAGTTAACCTACACGCCTACAGCTAGACCAAACTAAACAAGCAAAACCCCAGCCACCCTCACGAAGCTACTTAGGATTCTAACTCTAAATCAAAGTGCCATTAACCATGACTTAGCATTTCACTTTGACACTAGAGTGTGGAAAATGGAGCTCAATTAGTTCCAAGTGAGGAAGCCCACAGAAACACATCATAACCTAAAAGTAACTTCTGGCCCAATTAATCTCTCCAGCTAAATACACTTCTGCAAAAAGAGCCTCTTGAGCAACTCTCCTGATGGACCACAGTGAAGACTCGTCTAATACAGCACAGAGAGCATACATCCACACTGCCCCAGGAACACACGCTCTGTCTGCAATGTATCAGGTCATATGTTAGAGAAGAACTGTGGACCATTCAATTAAGATAAGAAGTCAAACCAAACACTTTATTGGATTACATAGAAAATTCAATGGCTCAGGGGTTAAGAACACTGGCTGCTCTTTCAAAGGTCCTGAGTTCACTTCCCAGCCACCACATGGTGGCTCATAACCATCTATGCTAAGATCTGGTACCCTCTTCCAGTGCATAGGCACACATGCAGGCAGAATGCTGTATAAATAATAAATCAAAAAATAAGGAAAGAAAGAAAGAGAGAGAGAAAGAAAGAGAGAAAGAGAGAGGAAGAAAGAAAGAATGAAAGAGAAAGAAAAGAAAGAAAAAGAGATAGAAGAAAGAAAGAAAGAGAAAGAAAGAGAGAGAGAGAGAAAGGAAGGAAGGAAGGAAGGAAGGAAGGAAGGAAGGAAGGAAGGAAGGAAGGAAGGAAATTTGGAGAGTGTGAAGTGGGAGCCGGAACAGTCCACATCACAGCCTCAGCAGCATCCTATCTCTGTCACGACTGCCAAGCTTGAGGCTGAGTGGACACATGCCAGCAGTGACCGGGGCCAAACCTGACAGGAGTTCTGGATCTGTGCCACTTACGTCACTGACATCTGCATTTCGACAGGGTCAGTGGCAAGCACAGAGAAGACAGTCTGACACCCTGACCCAGGGTCTAGCTGTCAGTCTGAGAGGCTGACACAGCAGAGAAAACATGCAGCAGCACAGCACAGACAGCATCACAGTGTACCTGCTGCCAAGCCCTCCAACCTGAGCTAGATCCCCAGCACCCACAGGACAGGAGAGAACTGACCCCAGACATTGGTCCTTTGGTTTCCACATAAACACTGTGGTATGTGTCCCCCACAAAATAAACAGAAAAGTAAGTAAATAAATGTAGAAAACTAATATGGAGATTCCCGTAATTATCACTCACCAATTCTACTCTATGGGACTTCTTGCATACATGAACTTAGACACGGCTAGAGAACATTCCCCATGTCAGTGTCACATAGGGAACAAAATGGAAACTAAACGCCCACCAACAGGAAAAGATGAATGATATATTCCTACAAGAAAATACTATGAGACTGTGTAAACAACACTATGTGTCCATGAATGTATCATAAAAGATGGGTTACAGAGTACACGATACTCTTTATGCAAACTCGGAATATAAATACTTCCATGTTGTGCTTAGGAATACTTGCATAGTCTAACTGTAAAAACCTGCCTAGAAAAGCTGTGATGCCTTCAGGACAGTAACAGCCCAAGAATGGGGCCAGGGCTGGATCTACCTAAAAAGCTGCACTTTCTAAGCAAACCTAAAGTAAGCATGAGCAAAGCACTGACCCTAGCAGCAAGTACCAGCTGTGTGCAGCCCACCACTGCCTGCAGCCCACCACTCTCACTTCCTAGCTTTCTTCTCCTACTTTCCACACAAGTCCCATGCTGCTTCTGGCGGCTTATGTTCCCATGGATTCCTCCAAAATATTAAAGTCAGTGCATGCTCTTTTGGTGGCTAATTTTTCTCTCAGCTTGATATGGGTTAGAGTCATTTGAGAAGAGAGCCTCAATTGAGAAACTGTCCCCACCAGCCTGGCCTGCAGGCATATGGAACATTTTCTTAGTGACTGATACGGAAGGGCACAGCCCCTTGTGGATGGTATCAGCCCTGGGCAGGTGATCCTGGGTGTATAAAAAGGCAGGCTGAGCAAGCTGTGAGGAGCAAGCTAGTGCTCCCCTGTGGCCTGCTTCTGTTTCTGTCTCCACATTCCTGCCAGGCTTGAGTTCCTGCTCTGACTTCCCTCATTGATGGACTGCAATGTGGAGTCGTAAGCTGAAATAAACACTTTCAAAACCTTCCCAAGTTGCTTTTGGTTATAGTGTTTCATCACCTAACCATGACAGCAGGAATCATGCAAGCCAGTCCTGAGCTGTCAGCTGAAGTCTCTACATACCTCTTTGACAACACTGTAGGCCTTGGCCACACCTTCCCTCAGGTCTACTGGCTGGTGGGCTAACCGGTGATGAGAAAATCTCTTTGCCTTCTTGGGCTCAATAGAAAGGGTACCCGGAGACACCATGTCATAAGCAGTCTCTGCTGCCGCCTGGTTCATTTTGTCAGAAGGAAGAAATTAATTAGAAGACAGTCTGGGAAGCTGGGCATCAAAAGTGTGGCAGTCCTCTCCTGCAGGGGTTAAGAGAAGCCCCACCGAGATGGCACATGTTTGAACACTTGTGACAAGAGCTTACGACTTTCATAATGTGAACAGGAAAGGTAAGCTAGAAACTGGCACCTGGACTGCGCTGCCCTACTCAGCCCCTTCCTCTTATACGTTACTCTGCAACCCTTAGTACTTCACAGAGCAACTTCCAATGTGTTCTTAAACTCAGCTCTGATCCTTTTACACAGCTCAGTGAAATAAATCCCCTGCTAATTTAATGACTGTTATTTTCTTAAACTATGCAAGCAGATTTGGCATGTATCCTACAACTCTGTTACCTAAATGCTCAATACTAGATATCTAAACAACTACCAAGCACCAAACAGGGCGTGATGGCACACACTTGTGCACACCTAAGCACTTAGAGGCCAACGACCAAAAGTATGAGGATCGCCTGGGCTATATAGTAAGACTTTGTCTCAAAAGACCAAAGTAAACTAAGTATGATAGTAAATCATTACAAATGAGAGGTCTACCCTCTACGGTTCACATTTCACACATCTTCATGGTAGTGTTTTAAAAGTGGTGCAGTTGCTGTACAGGACTCTCATCTGTCCACATGAGGCTGGCCAGGGAATAGTACCTGTATTGTTTGGACCATTCTGTTTGTTAGTTCTAGAGCTGCCATTGCAGTTGAGGTACCAAAGGAGGCAGCACCTCTCTGGAAGCCTCTGACGATGCGACCATCCTTCCGGTACTGCTCAATCGGCAGCCACACCAAGTCCTTCAGGCCTTGCACTAGAGACAGAAATCACATTAAGAACTGTAAGTGACAAGAGTCTAACGCTGTGGCCTTCTCATTCTCACTGAGGTCCCAGAAGCCAGACTTCCCAACAGAAATACAGGCTGAGCCATATGTGTGATTGAAAGTGTTCTAATAATCACTACAAAAAGTTAAAAAAATTAAAGAGTAAACAAATTTAATATTTTAACCTAGGTATATCCAGAATATAAAATCATTATGAAAATATTGTGTATGTATTTGTGCATGTGTGTCTCAAGTCTAACCCTGGATGGAGTTTCTGACCCTGAAACTAGAGGCAAAGTTTTATATGCATGCTAGTATGCATGCAGGATTTATAGAAAATGTTCTTCACATAGACTCTCAAGGTGTTTGAAACACCCAAACATATAAGAAGGCAACCCACCTAATTGAACTAGTGAATGCATTGGCCCAACACCTCCCAGGATTCCTGGTAGCTGGTTCTTCTTAATGTCATTGAGCCATTCGGAAATTGCATATGAGAACAATTTGTCAATACCTAGCAAACTAGAGCAAATGACTGTTAGTGCAAAGAAGAAATAAAGGTATATTCGTAAGTAAGGACTTCTGTTTCCATATCACAAGTGCAAAATGCTATAGATGCTCCCAAAAAAGATAAACAATTTTATATCACAGAATAATATAAATTAGCTACTAAATCCCCAATCTAAATCTTTGTGTCAGTCTGAAGACAATAGATAACAGACAGACACGACAGATGGAAAAAGATACCTATACAGTTTGGGAAGCATGCACAAGTATTAATGTTTTCTATTGTTCTTATCCTTTGATTAACCCTGGCTCAGGCACAGGGCTGGCCCAACTAATCACAACCAAATCTGTTCACCTGCATTCTTGTCCCTGAATAAGCTAATTTACAACTTCAGCAAGCTACCTTAACATAGCCTAAACGGCAGTATTTCAAGAAATACTGCTCTGTTCCAACCACTTCTACTCCCTCAAAATAAACAGAAGCCCAGATCAGGAAGGGTCCTCCAAGACTAAGCTCCCTGCAGAAACACAAGCAGGTAGGTCTGCTTGGGAGAAACTGCACTTTTATTTTCACACTAGCTTTAGTGCCCTTACCTTGAAACCTCAGCCACTCAATACTCACCCATGCCGATAGAAGAGCCTCTTCAGCTTTAACTCAGAACAGTTCAACTGAGCCAGGCCAATCAAAATCCCAGCCAATGTACCCTGAAATAGGAAGAGTGGCTAATTAATCCATAAACTAAGGAGAGACTCAACATTTAACATAGCTGTTACTAGGGAAAGTCCAAGCAATATTCTTTAATGAAGATAAATACTTAAAATATTTATAGAAAAAAATGCATTTTATATGGTACAGGTCATTATACCAGTTAACAGTCAGCATTATGAAATTTCACTCACAGTACTTAGCACTTAGTTTCAAATCAAGTAAAGGTTTGTACTTCATGTCAAAACACACATGCACATGTTCTTCTGTTAAATTTTCTTTTTACTGAATCCATAAAAGAGAGAAAGAGAGAGAGAGAAAGAGAGTGATGTTGAGATGGCTCAGAGGGGAAAGGTACTTGCCACCAAGCCTGAGGACCTAAGTTCAGTCCCAGGTTCCACTCAGTGCAAGGAGAGAATTAGCTTTCATTCTGACCAAGACACAAGTGCTTCCTTGCCTCATGCACTCACTCCCTCTACCATAAACATAATTTATTTATGTACCATAAATGTAATTTCTACAAAAGATAACTTTGTATTACTTATTCATGCAAAGTTTCCACACCTGATCCATTGATACATGCTTGCCATGATAGTCAAGCCGAATAGGAACTTCTGCTGTGAATCTGAATTCTCTGGGAAGAAACAAAGGGAGATATTTTTATTCAAATTACCTATCATAAAATTGACCTAATTTGTTAAACTTAAAAATAAAAGAAAACCACAAAGTATAAGCACATCTTATGTCCTAAATAAGAATGTCTTTTAGTTCTACCTTGTCTTAAAATCATAACTAAACAGATAAATTCTATCATAGTTAACTGTTGTCACAGAAACCTTTTCTCAGTTTATTAAATGTTTATTTAAATATTGTCTACTGTATTTAAATGTTGTCATAAAAAACTTTCCTTGGTTTATTAAATGTTTATTCTTAAGAAAAAAAAGTTTACATATTCTCAAGTCATACAGAGACCAAATTAATAAACGTGGCCTTCAGACTTAACCAAGAAGTAAACAGAAAAGGCAAGAAGCCCACCCTGTTCAATGTGAGCAGAGGCCTGGCCCCTGCTCCTAACATACACGGGATGCAAGTGTGGATGGCTCAGCTCTCTGAGTCTCAATTCTTCATCACTGTAAAAACGACAGACATTGGCAAATTTTGGTGAGAATGCTTGCAGGTAGCTGTCAACTGGAAATTCTGGGGGTGAAATTAAAACTACATACTCATGGCATATGGCCAACACAATGAACTGCCTTCCAAAAGATGACTGCAAACTGAATGCTCAGAACCTGGAACATGATTTCGCCCAACAGACTGAATGTTACTGCTTACACACCAAACCATCTCAGAGAAGCCCACCCTACCACTATTCCCTCAGGCCCTCCCACTCCTCTTCCCCTATAAGAAGTGTAGGGATAAAGAGGGAGCAGAATTGAGGGAACAACTGAACAATGACTGTCCCATCTTGAGACCTACCCAATGGGAGAGAGCCAACCCCTGACACTATTGATGATACTCTGCTATGCTTGCAGACAGGAACCTAGCACAACTGTCTTCTGAGAGGCTTCCATCATCCAGCAGCTGATGGAAACACATGCAAAGACCCACAGTCAAATAAGAGGTGGAGCCTGGGGAGTCTTGTGGAAGAGTGGGAGGAAGGATTGAGGGAGCTGGAGGGGTCAAAGACACCAGAAGAAGACCTACAGTCAACTAACAATCAACCTGGGCCCATGGTGGGGAGAAGGGGTCCCCTAACAATGGGAGCATGGGCTGTCTCTGACTCTGTTGCCTGCCTCTGGATCCCTTTCCCCTAGCTGGGCTGCCTTGTCTGGCATCAGTGGGAGAGGATGTATTTAGTCCTGCTGCGACTTGATGTGCCAGGGTGGGTTGGTATCCATGGCACATCCTCCCCTTCTCTGAGGAGAAGAGGAAGAGGGAATGGGGAAAGGAGTTTTTGAGGGTGGGACTGGGAGGGGAGAGGGAGGGGCTGCAATCAGGCTATAAATTGATTAAATAAAAATTTTTTTTAAAGACATGTTAACAGACAGACCATTGGTTACTTATATATTCAGTTATCCAGAGTTGTTCATGGTACCTAGATGGAAAACTGGAACACACAGTAAGTGCAACAGCCACTCACAGAGGAAGGAGGGAGATTCTTCTGGCATCACTGGAAAGTCATCGAGCAGATGAATGATGGCTAGGACCTTAACTCAGCTACTAACAAATCCCTGAAGCTCAGTCTAACTCTCTGAGCATTCACTTAAATCTGTGGGTAACTGAGACATGACCAGCCATTATGATGCCAGGGTTCTGGACCCTCCAGAACAGAAATGAAATCTGCTTTCAGAAACAGGTAAAAACCACACAGGCCTTTCTTGTAACTGTAACACAGTTACAGAGTATCAGGATTGGAACACAGTCTGTATCCTCAGCTACCACAGACACTAAAGAGGGAAGAGCTAGTGTCTGAGGCTAGCCTGGGCTAATAGTGAGACCTGTCTCCACACAAAGTGTCAAATCTCTTGCTTTCAGGATTATGTTTACAAAAGTTAAATTGCTAATTTATATGTGATTACTAAAAAATAAAACATTTGTATCACTAAGATGCAAGTTTTCCTAAAAATAATCACTGTAGGAAAATAACAAAAGTGAATGTTTCCTAGTGAAAAGTGTAGACCCAGGAGACACATCATCTGTGTCCTTCTTTTCCTAATTGCTATTATTTTTACATCTATCATCCTCACTATCAGCATCTTTAAAACATAATGACACTTGTAAATACAGTCCACTTGGGCCACACTCAAGGTCTCCTCTTACAACATAGAAAGAAAGACAGAAAAACTGGAAGCCCTGGAATGAAAGTGGGGTACAGAGAATTGAGGGGAGGAGTTGCTTTGACCCTCTTTGACCCTCCTCTTTCTAGAAATGCCAAGACTCTATCCTGACCAACAAGTGCTAGGGAAAGAGAACATGAAGAAAGAGCAGACTAGTTGGCCAAGGAAGAAAGGACACCAGGATGAGGGCCAAGCAGCAGTGCAGGGGACATGGGCTTCCCAGAATGCTCACCTGACTCAGGAGATAACCTGGCAGGAACTCAAAGAAGCAGACTAAGGACTCAGCAGAAGGGAAAAGGTAGTGTGTGGTGTGGAGAGGCAAAAGGACGACACCATGTTTATGAGGACACAAACACACTCAAATAGAGAGCCACAGGGAGTGGTGGCAGGAGAGGGAATTCCCACCTCAGATTCAGTAATAGATAAGCCCTGAAATCAGGCTTACTACTTGTAAGCAAGGGGTGCCAGTTGGGCAGGGACCACATGCAAACTACAGCACAAGCTTATATAACAATGTGAAGAACACTGATGTCACCTCATGATGGCCAGTCTTTAAAGCTCCACGAGAACTTCATCTATTATCAAAATAAACACACTTACCTAAAAAACACAGGCTGGTCACTAAATGAAGTTTCCTCAGCTGAGAAGTTCTTCTCCTCCAGTCCATTAGCCCCCTCCACTGAATTGGCACTATGGTTTGGGGAAGGTTGTTTTGGCCCAGGGAAAGAAACAACTAGATTCGGCTCCTTTGAGGTACTCAAATGCCTTGGCAAACTGCAGGTGACATCAGCTCCAGGAGACTTGGTAACTAAAACACAAGGGCATGTTTGAAGTTAGCTCTGCTACTCTTGAGCAGCATGGCAATCAATACCGATCAGTCTGCATGCTACATTTCACTGAGTAAATACAACTCTTGCTACAGAGATTGTCTAATGTCATGTTTACATCATTACTGCTACATCAACACATCAGTATTACTAACACAAATAAGTGTGGAACACACACATACAAATGGGAATAAACACCAAGTACATACTCAAAAATAGCACAGCAATTAAAATCAATCTAAGTACTGCCAGTCCTGATTTAGCAATACGTTAACTTAAAATTCGTCAACTTCACAATGGAGAGAAGTGTATATACTCCATCAAAACTGCACATCGAGTATGAACTTTGAGCTTTTCCTAGCAGCATGCAGTCCTGTCCTCTAGTGGTGCTGGGTGGCCACAGCCAGACACAGCTCTTCTGTCAGTAGTCACTAGGGGAAACAACCAACACTCCACAACAGTGTGCTGCTGAGTCAGTCCTAAGTGCGCTCCAGGTACCAGATTTATTTCTGAGCTCCATTACTCAGCTTACAATGGCATTCTGAGGAAGTGATCCCATCCTAAGCTACAGGATCCTCAAACTGTGTGTGCTAAGTACCTTCTGGGTCTGGAGTCAGTAGAAGCTCCACTTCTGTAGAAAGACTTGTGAAGAAATCCTTGAGGAAGAATAAGGCGTCCTAGAATGGAGACAAGTCACTGTAACTCAGGACAGAGTCTGAGGTCTGTCTCCATCATTCACCCTTACACAGCAGTCACTGTACCTCTCGGTCTGCCTCTCCAGCAATCATTCTTGTTCTTGCTCTCTTTACAAACACACATACCTCATCCCCATTATTTTTTTTACAACTATTAAAAAATTTAAACAACAACATTGCAAAAAAGAGAAACTAAAATCCAGACAGCTAGGACTGGGCAGGCCATGGTAGGACACGCCTTTAATCCAGCACTCAGCAGTGGTCCAAGTGGAGGAGAGCCTAGTCTTTATCACTAGTTCCAAGACAACCAAGGCTATATTCAGGCCCCTATCCCAAAACAAAAACAGAAACAAAACAAAACAGAAACCACTAGAAATGATTTTTTTTTCTTTGTAAGAAAATGTTCGCAATTGCTCTTGGCATGTGTTCTCATTCTAACCTGACAGTGGTGACACCACTACTAGTAACAGCAGATGGCACAGCTTATATACTAACCTTTGCCACTAAACTCCCTAGGACTTATTTCTTCTTTAATCATTACTCTCTTGCCTTAAGACAGTTTCTTCACCGAACAAGATATTCAGAATGGGAAAATAAAGCTGGGTGTGGAGGCATATACCTATAATTCCAACATTCAGGAAGCTGAGGCAAGAGGACTGATTGCCAAGAGCTCAAGAACAGCCTCAGCTACATAGCAAATTCCAAGTTAGCCATGGTATAGCAAGGCTCTGTCTTTAAAAATATAAACAATAAACACACAAACTAAGTCACTCATTTGGTGTAGTCTTTTCTGCAATCATATATGAAAAGGCAAGTATGACTCTGGGCTAACATTCCTCCAGCTGCCCACATACTCAGGTGTGTATGGCATGTGCAGACGCAGGGCATAAAACACAAAATCAGACTAGGCGGTGGTGGCTCATGCCTTTGGTGAGCCTGTATCCCAGCACTCAGGATACAGAGGCAGGTGGATCTCTGAATTCCAGGCCAGCTAGGGCTATACAGAAAAATCCTGTCTTGTAACAAGAAAAAACCCACAAAATCGAAACTCTGAGCCCGCTCTTTCCTATCCTTCCCTCTATGAACTCTAACTTCACAAAAATATAAAACATTAACATTGTACCAAATACAATGTTAGTTACTTGCCATCCCATTTACAGTATATTTAAATGACGCAGACTGCATATGCTTATTACATGTTTATATCATGCTCAGCACTGCATGTTAACTAACCATATAAAATGCTGTTTTTAACCACCACTAGATGGAAACAGTTTAATGTGTAAATGTTTTAACTCCAACATTGTTCAAAAAAGGAAAACATTAGGTATAGATTTGTTCTTGAAAAAAGGAAGACTAAAGAAATCCTGGCTTTTTATGGCACTTCACAAATCTATTTATTTATTTATTTGTTTGTTTGTTTGTTTGTTTATTTTGCAGGTTTATTTGCTTATTTATTTATTTACTTATTTGCACTTTATTTCATGCCCCACTGTAAAAACAGCAAAAAGGTTAATATTTCTTCTTTACAGTAACTATGCTTTAGAGTTCTGTAAAGTATTAAAGAAAACTGAGCTTGCTATTTTTGGTAAGACAAGGCAATAAAGATGACTCTGACTCAGTTTTCTCTGGTAGGAATTTCTACAGATCAACTTCCCCATAACTATTTCATTATATTTCTAGTAAGCCAGCATATGAATAAACTGAATTAAATAGAGATATCAAGGGGGCTGAAGAGATAGATGGCTCAGTGGTTAAGAGCAACTGCTGCTCTTGCTGAGGACCCAGGTTCAGATCCCTGCACCTACACATGTTGCAGGATATTTGATCCCACTGTGAACCCCAAGACTGTGAACTGTAAAATCCTTTCTTTTGTTTGGTGTGGTTCTGCCCTAACACACACCTTTAACCCTGGAGCTTTCTGTACACAGGATTTAACAGTTAACCGTAGGTCAAGGGGTGGAGCAAATAACCAGCTGACAGGGATTAACAGAAAGGAGGGACTTTGAGAGAAGAGTGTTTAAGAAAGCATGGAGGAGGGTGCTTTAGCTCTCTAGCTCTTGGGCTTTTAGCTGTTGGCTTTTTTCCTCCTGGGCTGCTAGGTGAGCTAGCTGGCCTTTTCTTCCTGGGCCATCAGCTGAGCTAGCAAGCTTTTGTCTTTTGTCTTTTTGGCTTTTTCCTGCTGGGATGTGAGCTGAGTAGGATAGTGAGCTGGGTGCTTCTTCTGCTTCTCTGAGCTAAAAAAGTTTCACCCCAGCATCTGACTCCTGAGTCTTCATTGGTAAAATCGAGAGGTTGGGATTTTCATTCTTTAGAACAACACACACTGGGCAACTCACAACCAACTCCAGCTCCAGCTCTGGGGAATCTAAAGCTCTCTTCTGGTTTCTGAAGGTACCTATGCAAATGTGCAAATACTCATATACATACCTATACCCACACACACACACTACACACACATACGTAAAGAAAAATAAATCTTTAAAATATACACATCAAAGAACAGTCTTGTAATAAAATATAAATCTAAAGTTTGACCAGCTCAGAACCCGCAAGCATTATATAAGCCAGTGTACTCCTGCACCCATGGCACATCCTCTTAGATGGGGCCTGCTCTGTTTACAGTATGAGCATTTCACTTGATGTCCGCGATGCCTGTCACTTGCTTGGAATACACTTTCAACATTTTATTTAAGTGACAATATCAAATCACTATTACTTAGGCAAATGAATAATGCTATCCACAAATATGCCAAACCTGAACCCAAAACTATAAAAGGTTTATCAAGAGATTTTGTTATTTTTAAATTCCATGTATGTTCTGGGGTTGTTGCTTGCTTTAGCTAGTGTTTAAGGAAGTACACACTCCTGATCCACAGCATATAATGGCAGGCACTGAGCTAAATGTTCTCCACATACTGGCCTATTTAATGCTCATGTGTTATTGCCTCTCTCATTAATGCAAAACCCAAGGAAATTTGATAGGATGCTTGCCTGATCATGAGAAAGTGGTTTTCTTTACAACTTCCCACAAATCTGTTTTTATGGCCTCTTTGCTAACCATTTATTATTTTGTCATTTTTCTTAGTACAAAAAAACTCTCTTGCAGAATCTATAACAATCCCTTCTAACACTCACCCACTGGGGTGTCCTCATCTCGAAAACACATGGAGACCTGAGTTATGTGCCCACATGGAGTGGAAAGAGTACTCAGGCCCAGAGCACACAGGCAATAAACAGGAAAAGGCCAGACTTCAAACTGCACAAATGACTCTGCCCTGCAGTCTTCCAGAAGGCTTCTTGAGCTATGTAACTTTCACACTCAGTGGTGATGAACACAGTTACTCACTACTCTCATCCTAACTGCATCAGTCTGCCCACCACACACACCTGGTCAATATTGAGGCGAAGCGGCATCAGGGACACTCGCAAGCAGCATTCCTGTGGTGACCTTCCAGACTCTGGACGTACATGCAATGCTTTAATTGTCAACTACAAGAAAAAGAAAAGTATTTTCCCCAGTGACACAATGACCCTGTTCTCCTTTCAAAAAAATTTAAAAGTAAACAATCACATTTTTATCTAAGGGAAAAAAAAACAGAATTTTGAGTTTGAAGCCAGCCTGAGCTAGATAGTGAGAACTTGTCAAAGAAAAAAAAAGAAGAGGGGAGGAAGAGGATTCTATTTACCCTCCTCCCTTAAAAGCTTGTTCAGTTCTCAAAAGAGTCTTATGATATATGCCTCTCTCTCTTCAGAGGACAACAGCTAATGTCAGCACCACAGCTGCAGGCTCAATGGAGCCTGCTGAGTCTCAGAGACAGCCACTCCCACCTCACTCAGGTTTCTAAGTGTGAAGGGCTGGCAGCAGTCCTAATCATTTTCACACAGTTGTTTTACCTGGGTTTGACAGACTGGCAATTACAGTTAGGGACTACTTTACAAACTAACTCTTTAAACTCAGGAATTTTCATATTAAAAGAGAAAATAATTTTTTTTCAGTTCTGATAATTCTTCCCAATCTAATTTTCCAGCAGTTAGACAGAAATAAAAATGTTTTTCTAAAACTAATGAGGAGAGTGGGGCTTCAAGGCTTCTTACCATGTTGGAATGAGCTTTACGAGGCATGTCTTTGCTGCAATACAGGTATAGAAATTTATTCATTTGTGATGTTGCCAGCCGATCTCGAATTTCAAGATCCTGAACGATGAACACCTGCCTGGAGACTGGGTGCTCTGAGAGGCTAGACTCACACTCAGGTTTACACGGGGGGTAGACTTCATGCTGAAACTTCACCTTAAAGACAAGAGCAACAGAGCGCTGTTGACTTTCACTTCAATTTGGCTTTCTTTTGTTGTTGATATTTTATGTATTTCTATTTGTGTGGCTGTGTCTATCTATTTAGCATGTGCACGCAGGGCCTACAGCTGTCAGAAGAGAAAACTGAATCCCCTGGAACTGGAATTACACTGTCTGTAAGCTTCTCAGCCAAGCTAAGCGTAAATCAATGTAACGCCATCAGTGCTCTGTCCCTGTGGCCTCTAGATGGTCAGAGGGGTCTTTCTATATGTGCAAGTCAAAGTTAGGCCTTCCCAGACAGACAATTCAATAGAGCAGTAGTTCTTCAAGTGACCCACCGGAAGGGCAAATGCTGGGCAGAACTCAGAAGGCTGTATCTTACAAAGGCCTCCAGGGGACTCTGGGAACCCTGGGAAAACAAAAACACCTCAGGCTCCTCAAAGTATCGAAGAAAAAGAGGTGAGAATTACACAAGAGCCTTGCATTTTTCTACTCTGTAGGGCAGGAACTTGAGGCGTTAAGACTCAGCTATGGGCATAACCAGAGAACCCCACTAATACACTCGCTGAAGTGAGTCTTCTCTTTCAAAACACCATCTTACCTTGCTTAATTGTATTTCCATTAAAAAATCATGATTCCTTCCTTTGCCTCCATAGACTGTATGACGTCCATGCCTTGTAGGTGTCTGAGAAGGTGAGCTATGGGGACTACTAAAGATGAAGAAAGAGAAAACAAAATTCTTCTTTGTTAAAAGAATATTCAATTTAATGAATGACATCGGCAAAATTAGTAAGATACAAAGAGAAAGCATTACATAAGCACTAGAATGTTCCACAAACTCACTATAAACCCTGTAATCCCAGCTGAGGCCAAGGCAGGGAGAGCAACACCTGGGTCAGAGTGAGCTGAGTGGTCTAGCATATGCTTACCATGTGCAAATGCCTTTGGCTCAAGCCCCAGTGCCACAGGACAAATGTGTCATTTATATTTTGGATATGTTGGAAATCCAATTTTATTACCACCATTAGGGATGGCATTTGCTTGCTAAATATTCAGACCTACAGGAAAGCCTAATTATGATGCTGGACACAGGACACATTTGGAATGAAGCCTCAGAAATCCAAGTCAACAACAGAAAAGAACTCAGTGGGGACAGAAGCATTCCTAATTAACCAGTAAGTAAAGGTGCCCAAGCGCTGTGCCACATGGTTCTGCCCAGAAAGCCTCTTTGCCACCCCACCCCATAGACATTTGCTCCAGCCCACCTACACTTTCCACTGGTTCTTTCCTCACCCTACAGAACACTGCTTTGCTTAATCAAAACACTCAGCTCTGGAAATGGAGATAGAGGTCAGAGGTTAAGAGCACTGGTTACTCTCACAAAAGAATTACTTTCAGTTCCCAGCACCCACATGGTGGCTCAACCATCCATAACTCCAGTTCCAGAGGATCCAACTCCTTCTTCTGACATCCAAGAGTACCAAGTATGCATGTGCTGCACCGACACTGACAAAACACAAACATAAAATAAACAGGCAAAAAAAAATCTTTAAAAAAAGTCTAAAAATAAAGTACGCCCTGTTAAATGGCAGGGGCTCAAAGCAAGCATGTGCTGTGTCTTCTCACACACCCACTTAATTTTATGGTCCCATTCAGTCACATAACTTTCTCTCCTTTTGGAACTGAAGGCAAGGAATGGGTCTAGTTTATTTTCATAAACAAATACACGATGGGTACCTGAAAATGCTTGTTGAGTGAAAATCTTCTAAGTCACCATTTTAGTGAATACATGAGAAGTACAAATAAGTTCACAGGCAACTTTAGATGTGACATTTAAATTACATATTGAATACTAATTTACTCATCCATAAGATAAACTCAAAGTCTGAAGAGATGGCTCAGGGGTTAAGAGCACTGACTGGTCTTCCAAAGGACTCGAGTTCAAATCCCAGCACCCACATGGAGACTAACAACCATCGATAATTCCAGTTCCAGAAGATCCAACACCCTCTCTGGCCTCTGTGGGCACTGCACTTTGGTGCAGAGACATACACCCATAAAACACCCTTACACTTAAAAATAAATAATCTTTAAAAAAAAGATAAATTTCATGTGTTTTTCTACGGACAGATACACTGATCCAACAAATGAACTTACATGTAACTCTTAGCTGGAGACACAGGAGGAGCTGTTGCAAAGTCCTTGCCTCCATAAAGATGCCACACCAGAGAGACCTCTTTAACAACATAGCGAATGGCAGGGATGGGAAAGTGAAGCGGGGCTTTGCTGCTATCCGTCCTCGTAATGGGCAGACTGAAATAGTCATCTCTTATCACAATTGCGTCATCAACCATGATCTTTATCACTGGCTCTTCTTCTTTCTCCTGAAACACACCAAGGACAGCACTCTCAGCTCCTACAATAACTGCTGTGCCTGACACACCTACGGGCACCCGTGACTCTACACTCTTTCTAATAACTTCAATGTAAAAAACGGGGTAATAATTTATTTCCTCTGAAAGGGGGTCTCATACTGTAGCTCTGATTTGTGTGAAACTCACTATGTAGTACAGGCTGATTTTGAACTTGCAGCAATTCTCCTGCTTTGGAGGCCTGAGATTTCAGGCATATACTTCCACATCCAGTGTGGGTAATAATTTCTGACATGAATCATCATATCATATTTTGTACCTTATTGATCTTAAAATAAAATATGTTCTACAAAAAAAGCATCTCATGAATAATTTCCAAAAGTTTATAATATGGCTCTCACTATTTGATAATTGAAAGTATACAGATTGTGTGTGTGATTACTGCTTAAAGTAATAATGCAATCTAAACCAAAACCTGACAAATTTCAACATATTAATCGTTTGTAATTACAGTTGTATCCTTAGTTCAACTGCTTTGGTTTTTTGTTTTTTTTTTTTTTACCAGAAAGTTCCCAGAACCTATGACACAGACACAGTCACCTATGAGGGTGCTACTAGACTGTTCTATGTGTGTGCATTCATCTTAACCCACCCATAAGTCTTCACAGACATCTCAATCTTTGCAGAGCTCACACTAGCCATTCTGTAGGCCACCTCCTGTCATTTAACTACACTGACCTTCCATACATTAGTGTACTTCACCAATTAGAGAGAAACAACTATGCAAACGTAGAGCATTTTCTAAGCCTCATGTTATGAGCATAGTGTAATGCCCATTTACAAAGCACTAACATAAATTACAAGAAGGAACAATTTTGAAGTGGGAAGAGTTACAGATTCAAAGGTCTTCAGAGGCCCTTAGCCATTTAATTTGTAACACTATTTTAAAGTCTTAATCATATTATCAGTTTATTACCTGGACAGCTGCTTTTGGTGCAAAAAGAATGCAAAAGTCATCGTTTTCAGTTGGCGCCCCTGACACTGTGTCACTCATCAAGTGGTGCGTGAGTGAGGCATAGGCAGGGCTGGGTCCCTGAGACGCACTCCCACTCTCATCTGGGAACAGGAAGAGGTCTGAGCAGCACGGCTCCTGAGTGTGAGACTGTTCATCCGTGACACCTAGATGAGCAGAGGAGAACATCCGACCCACTCTGAGACACTGACAACAGGGCTTTCACCTCCTTAACCTGGCCTACTTCCTATATAACAACAACACCTTTTCTACTTCTTATCACAACTCTGTGCTGCAGGACATTTGATCCCATTGTGAACCCAGGGACTGTGAACTGTAAAACCCAGTTTCTAATTGTGGTGTGGGCCAGCTTTAGCACATACCTTTAATCCAAAAGCTATCTGAAAACAGGATTACATAAAGTTAACCATAGGTCAAGAGGCAGAGCAAGGAACCAGGTGACAGGAAGTAAACAGAAAGGAGGGACTTTGAGCTGAAGGGTATTTAAGACAGTGTGGAGAGGGGCCTTTGGCTTTTTTGGTTTTTCTGAGTAGGAAGGTCAGCTGGGTGCTTTCTCTGCCTCTCTGAGCTAGTAGGCTTTCACCCCAGCATTTAGGTCTTTATTGGTAAAATAGAACGATTGGGATTTTCATTTTTTTAAAACAACAGCTCTGTGAACCTGGGGCTTAGGGGGGCTGAAGTACCTCCCCAAAAAAACCTCAGCAAGAGGCAGAAATACCTTAAAAGCACAAACAAATGACTCATGACTAACTTCAAGTTCAAGAAAGTGACTGATAGCATCAAAAAGGGACAGTTCCTTCAGTTAATCAGTGTAAGAAAAGCTCAAGAAGTCAACAACAGCTGCTTCCCATTAACTGGGGCTTTTACTTTGGCCAGGAGTCTGTCTTGCAGGTGGAAGAAACTAACAAGTGTCCTTAGAGTTCAATCTTAGAAACCCCTTGGGCAACACTGCAATGGGAAGGAACATCTAGCAGACCCTCACCAAAAACTACAGGAATCTCTGCTTCAGGAAGGCGGAGCTGATTCCTGGGCTCCAGAAACCTACACTTTTTCTCATGCAGCTCTTAAAAGTGAAATCACAGAAGATACCCTATGTACCAAAAGTCTTTACAAGAACACTTTACACTATGTATTAGAATTATCCAGTCTTCCCTATTCATTCAAACCAAATATTGACATGAGACAAAGAACACAAAAATGCATAAGACAAGGCCTGGAGCGATGGCTCAGTGGTTAAGAGCATGGTCTGCTCTTCCAAAGGACCTGGGTTCAATTCCCAGCACCCACATGGCAGCTCACAATTGTAAAACCAATTCCAGGGGATCCGACACCTTCACATTAATGCATATAAAATAAAAATTAAATAAAACTATTTTAAAAAAATGCATAAGACAGTGTTTTGCCCTCACGACTCTCCCAGACTAGCATTTAAATACTGACAACAGCTCTGCAGGCCTTCCTCTGTCAGAGTCCAGTGCCTAATGAAAGTCTGTCTATAATGTGCAATCAGGGTCCCTTCCAACTCTTGACAGCTTCTGCTACTTAGTGCACAGAAAGCTGAAAGCTTAGTTTATAGCCTTATTCATAATTTACCCTAAGTTAATGCAAAATGTTTGATAATGTCATGAATTTTCTCAATATGTGCATAGTACAGCTGGCCGTACACTCAGTATATACAGCCAAAGCCATCCATGAGCTCCTGATACACTCTATCTCCTGTGCATTGGGATCTTAAGCATGCACCATAATTCCCAGTTCCATCAAGTATTACTTTAAAATTACAGCTTACAGAATTTAGAAATAACTATGTTCCTCACCAGGCATTGGGGCACATGCCTTTGATTGCAGCACTTGGGAGGTGGAAGCAGGTAGATAGATCTCTGTGAGTTTAAGGTCAGCCTGGTCCACACAGTAAGCTCCAGGACAGCCAGGGTTATTTAAAGAGACCTATCTCAAAGAATAACTGTGTTCATCTTATCAGAAAAACTGTTTTCTGAAGAACAAATGGTTGAAAATATTTGGATGCTTCCATTTGGCTTTCAAGGCTCTTTACTCATCTGGTCCCTTCCTGCTCTTCCAACTTTACTATGGTAGGTATAAACAGATCACACAGCCTTCCTCTGTATTCTTATATAGATAAACCTATGACCTTGCCGAGATGAGCTTCCTCCTCTATGCACTCCCCTTTTCACAACCAACTAGTCCTGTTTTCACTACTCATGAAACTTCCAATCCGCATTCCATGGTACTTTCTTGTGTCATTCTCAATCACCCCAAGTGGCAGTGCCCATCTTCTCCCAGTAGACTGAGAATCAGCAGACAGAGCTGAGCTGACTGCTGTACACATCCATGGGCGCAGATGTGTCTTTAGTAAGTTCCTTACGGAAAATGCTATGAGAACACACCAACAATGTGACTCTGCTACTCTAGCAGTGCTCTCAGGGAAAGCTCTCCTCACCATTTGTCTGTGGTCCCATTGGGGTGGAGGCCTGCTGCATATCAATCTCTTCCATGGCATCACTCATCAGGTCCCGTAAAATCTGCTGATCTGCTTCAGGAAGCACTGGACCACGTGAAGATGAATGGCCACTGGAATCTACCTACAACCAAAAGCCTAGTTAAAAATAGCTAAAGCTGACAATACTCCCAGCTTCTTGAGTGGCTATAGCAAGAGGACCACTGAGATCCAGCAACATGAGGCCAGTCTGGGAAACAAAGTAAGACATTTCTCAAACAAAACAAAACCCATCTGAAAAAGTCTTTTCAGAGGAGATGGGCAAGTCACTGAGCACACTACAAGGGAGCAGAGAACAGGAAACAGTAAGAGCTGCCTTAGACCACATCCTCACAAAGCCCAGGAGCAGTTCCACACTCACTGTTTACCTTTGCCCTGCAAAGGTGATGTGTGTGTGTGTGTGTGTGTGTGTGTGTGTGTGTGTGTGTGTGTGTGTG